TTTGAAAGTAAGAGGTTAGTTCATATGGACCTGAGAATTATTGATGTTTGAACTAGATTAAATAAAGTGTTTAAACATCCTGCAGTTCAAAGACTTTCAAGTTTTAATGGCCCTAAGGAATTAAAGTATTGAAAGCGTCTGAAATATTTTTTCAGAATTTGAGTATGGGTAAAATATTTGTAAAAAGGGTTAAACAAAACTGCTTGGTTCCTATACATAAAAAATATTTTTGATTCTTGATTCATAACAATCTGTCAATCTGTTGTCTAATTTATATAACATGTTTTCTTAGACTCTCACAATCTTTCCTTTCCTCCTCTCCCTTCCTTCCTCCCTTCCTTCTTGTCTTCCTTCTTTTTAGTTTCTTTCTTTTATTGATTTTGTGCTTTTTCTTTATGTTTGTGCCTTTCTCACTTTTCTCTTTCCTCTTTCTTTCCCTTCCTCTCTCTCTCTTTTTTTCTCTCTCTTTCTCTCTCTCTTGCTTTATGATTTCTTACAATGTTGTAAGAAAGACCTTTGAATTTTCAATTTGCAGAGTAATAGCGTTAATAATTAGGAAACCTAAGGGCTGACAGGAGATTGAACCTGCCACAACTGACTGCTTTGCAGAGGTGGCAGAGAGTCTCTACGGAAAACTTGACAGGAACAAAGCAGCTGAAGAGCACAGCTGACCAAATAAACAACAGTACTGGCATGAAAGAAAATAAAAATTGAAGTGCAGTTCAAGTTGACTCTACAAGGAAAAAAAAAGTACAGAGAAAAAGACAGAGCCTCAATTCATGAAAACTTCTATTATTTGTATCTGTTAAAGTCTTTATGTCTTTCTCTTACTGTGAGATAATACAGAAAAGCAATGCTAAATGCATAACAGGTCTCTCTTATAAAGATTTTGAAGCCAGAAGGGTTATAACACCATAATACAACAGAGTAGAAACTGGTGTATTTCAGGACAGAACAAACACATCACGCCAAAATATCATTATGTCTGGAAAGTCCTGTTTTCGCACTATTGTCCATAATTCTTTCCTTCCACATTGTTAAAAGGTTTTGATTAATGCTACATCAATAATCTAATATGTTGTCAGTGTGACAGTAATTGTAATGAACACACTTGGTCTGATTCAGACATTTTAATTCATCTTGATCTAAATGACAGTGCAAGATTCTGACCCAATATTAAATCGAATGTCAAGAATATTCCAGCTGTAAATCTAATACTGCCTAATCAACTGTCTCTTTCTTTCAGAAAGGTTATAAGCAAAACACCCACAGGCAATCTGACCTTTTCACTCTTGCTGTTTTCTGTTTACTAAGAAGCTAATTTCTCCTTCCTAAAACAAGTTTGAAAACAAAAAATATGTTAAGCCAAAAAATATAGGGCATGAACTTAAGTTTCTCTAAAGACAGCAAAGTGCTGGGAGCTGATGGTGATGACATACAATCATGTGATCTACTCTCCATCCTCTACTCTCCATCCTCTTTTTTTTTTTTTTTTTTTTTTTAATCCCTGCCCCCAAACACCCAAAGCTCTGAGTGGCTCTTTTGCTAGTAACAAAGATTTATGCCCAGATTGCAGGCCCCTGTGGGAGCAAATCCTGGCTGATACATCTGCTTAGAGAACTTCCAACTTACTTTCTCTTTAGTTTGGGCTCAGGAGGATACTATTCCATGAGTAAGTGAATTTCTCCATTATGACAGAGAGGAAGAAAGAGGGAACTCCTACAACTTCACTTGAGGTAACAGAGCCTGCCATGGTCAGGACAGGGCATTCGTTGACTAGCTTGCATGCTCTTGCATTTACTTACAGCTTTGCTTCTTTTAAAACCCTGTAGAAAATGGACAAAGCCAAGCTCAATATGGGGAAACAATGGAAGCTCTGTCTTTCTAATGAGAAATCAATGAAACATTTTTACAAGTTATAATTGAACATAAATCAAAAGTTTTCTTTCATCCTTCGCCTAGGTACTCAATAGATCGAAACACAGACCTCGAGAGGTATTTCAATATTGATGCCAACAGTGGAGTCATTACAACTGCCAAGTCTTTGGACAGGGAAACTAATGCCGTTCATAACATTACAGTCTTGGCTATGGAGAGTCGTAAGTAATAATTAAATGATTGCATGAACTGCTTATGTGCAAAACTTGAGGTTTAGTTGCACCAAGTGCATCACCATCAGCTGCACCAAGTGAAAGTATTACAATGTTTAAAAACATGATAGACAAAATAGCTTTTCTCACTCAGTGTAAAAGATACTTATGTGATTAAAAAAACCTCACAGATATACAACAGATTAAGCATTCTCTATTTGCTTTTCCACACTTTCTATAGACTTTTAACTTTAGACGAACAAGTACAAAGGAAAATGAAATTAGTTATCAGAAATCTCGCATTAAATACCATTAGAACAAAAGTAATATGGAATAGATTAGATCAATTAGCCCCTCCTAGTTGTGACACCCATAATTGATTGCTGTTGGTCTACCACAGCGCTCTTAAAAAGGATTAAGAATGTGTGAATACTTATGTGCCGTCCTCACTGTTATGTAAGATATTAACGGATATTTTGTACTTGATAGTTTTTTTCAAGTAATGAAAAAAGTGATGAAGAACCAAATTCTTTAAGTGTGTACAAGAATTCTGTTAACAGAACCGTTAAGTGTAAACCTGTTCAGCTCTCAATACATTCTGTGAAAAACTATATGTGCCTTAATATTTGAATAATTTCTTTATTTAAATGTAATTCTTATTACTAGTCTACTGGGCTACCTGGGTGTTTGCTATCAGTCCATAACACTATGTCTCTGATGCTCTTTCATCCTCACTCTCTTGCTCCACTCCCCCTTCTTCACTGATGCTTGCAGCGCTGTTTCTTTCACATTTTCTCCCTCATTTCCCAGCTACTGTGCATCATTTTGCATCTTTTCTTAAATACATTATCACAGAAGTGCAACCAGTGTAACTTATTGGCTCAGTTTTGCCCAAAATTAGGTCCCTTTTATATCAGTCAAGGGGAAAGTTAGTGTCAAAATTGCTCTATATTTCCCATGTGGAACAAAAAGGAAAAAAAAAAAAAAAAAAAGAAAGAAAGAAAGAAAGACTTGATCTATGTTTGAATGTATTTCTTTAAAAATTTATAACGTTTAATAAAATTTGTTTGCAATACACTAAAAAGATAGATACATCTTTTAATGTTTGCACAGTTTTTTATTCTGTCCTGCTACATCACTAATAGAAAAAAACAGTGGTAATAATAATAACAGTAATGTAGTCTCTCCAAGTCAGAAGTGTCAGAAGTTTAATGTAACAGAATAGATACAATATACCAAATGTTCATTTTCTTTATTCTACTAAATATATACTCTTTGAGGTTCATCCACCACCTATCTACTGTTTTAAATTAAACGGTGACATTAGGTCTTGCACAAAATCACATTTTAGGTAGAAGTATACATCAATTAATAACACTGTTGAAAGGTATAGTTCTGTGTACACATTAAATACTTTGCGATTTGCTTGGAAATACAAATTCTCCCCTCACGTTTGTTTGTTTCTTTGTTGATTTTTTGTCTGATTTACATAGCTGAAAGAATTCTGTTTTTAACTTCTTAATTTGAATTTAACATAGATTACCTTTGCCCACAATAACTGGGCTATTCCTGATATAAAAAGTGCTGTTTTGTCTCACAGTGTGTCCTTGCTGATGGTTGCACATTATTTACTATTATCTTTCCATATGATACAAATCAATGCTCTGATTAATGAGTTAGATTTTCAAATTAGCCTTGACAATAAAATCTTGATTTCATTGACACTATTGAAAAACACAAACATTGTTCTAATTTGGTCCAGAAGATTAAGCTCTTTTCTCAGCTTTCTAAGAGGGTTTGTAATTGATTTAGCAAGCATATGCAAAGAAATGCAAATGAAAAACATACTAACCCAAAGAAAATTCTCATAGAATTCCACTTAATTAAATTGTTGGCTTTTTTTTTTTTTTTTTTTTTTTTTTTTTTTTTTTTTTTTTTTTTTTCTTAATAGAGAATCCAGTACAGATTGGGAGAGGATATGTAGCCATAACTATCCTTGACATCAATGACAATGCCCCTGAGTTTGCCATGGAGTATGAGACAACTGTCTGTGAAAATGCTCAACCTGGCCAGGTATAGCTGTTGATACATTTTTTGTTTATTTTTATCAGATAGGCAGTAATTTATTTCGAAAGTCTAACAGCTTTAAGATAAAATAGAATCAACTTATGGCAGTAAAAATGCTTTGATGTGCAGCACAAGCTTATTTTCCTTAAGTCCTAAAATTTTCACCCTACCTGGTGATAGAAGGGTGGACTGTTTGGTGGATAAGGAATTGCAAGGTCGCAGCCAAAATGTTGTGATCAATGGCTCTATGTCTGGGTGAAGGCAGGTGATGACCAGTGTCCCTCATTGGTTAGTCTTGAACTAGTACTCTTTAACATCTTCATCAGTGACACAGATGATGGGGTTGAGTGCACCCTCATCAGCATTTTGCTGATGACATCAAGATGAGTGGTGTAGTTGATAAAGCAGAAGGAATGGATGGACATTCAGAGGGACCTTGATAAACCCAAAAGGTGGGCACCTGAGTTCAACAAAGCAAAGTACATGTCTCGTTCACATACACTTGGATTGGGGTAATCCCAGATATATACACAGACTGGAATAAGAAGGTCCTGAGAGTAGCCCTGTTGAGAAAGAAATAGAGTTCCTGGTAGATGAAAAACTTAACATCAGCCACTAGTGTGCACTTGCAGCCCAAACAGCCAACAGTATTCTGGACTGCATCAGAAGACGGTTGGCCACAGGGTGAGGAAGGTAATTGTCTCTCTCTACTCTGCCCTCATGAGGGCCCATCTGGAGTACTCTGTCTGGTCTAGGGACTCTAACACAAGAAGGATGTAAGGCTTTTTTAGAGGGTCCAGAGGAGGACCATGAAGATGATCAGAGGGTTGGAGCACTTCTCCTACAAAGACAGGAACTGGGCTTGTTCAGCTTGGAGAAGAGAAGGCTGTAGGGAGACATCATTACGGCCCTTCAGTATTTACAAGGAGATTATAAACAGGAGTGAAATCAACTTTTTGCATGTCTTGATAGTGATAGGACAAGGAGGAATATTTTTAAACTAAGGGAGTAAAGATTTTGATTCAATATCAGGGGGAAATTTTTCACTGAGAGGGTGGTGAGGTGCTGGAACAGGTTTCCCAGAGAGTCTGTGGATGACCTGTGCCTGGAGGTGTTCAAGGCCAGGTTGGATGGGGCCCTGGGAAACATGAAGTAGTGCTTGATCCAGTGGTTGGCAGCAAGAGGGTTGGAACTTAATGATCCTTGAAGTCCCTTCCAACCCAAGACATTCTGTGGTTCTTCTACTGAAGAGAAAAATGAAGATGTAAAAATGACACATTCTATGTAGTTTTAAAAGTTCTAATTTCCTTACAGCATAGCTAGCACATTTGGCTAAGCTCATTGTGTTTTAAATAATGTTAGGAATGATTACTTCCTCATAATTTTTCTGGGAAGTGGTCTCAACATTGACCTTGTTCAAAGGCAAAATTCCTAATTTTCCTAAAATGAATATACACTTTTATTTTTCTTAGGAGGTATGGACCATAAGGTAGGAATTTCAGGAGAGAGATATATTCCTAGCAAACTCTCTAGTGTTTTTAATTTCTAACATTACTTCCAAATAGTCCTAGATTCAACTAACTTTATGAAATTCCTCATAGTCCTAGACTCTGATGCTGTTTATCTTTGGTGTCTGTCACATTTTAAGTTTTCCATTTTAACTTATAAGATATCTAATTCTCCTTTCCTTCTCCCAGAATGCTAGTAGATGTCTCATTCACACAGATCCCACTTACTCATTGGGATTCTTTACACTTTTGTGCCTTCCTCCAGAATATTTTCCTTACTGTGGCAGATGTTGTTTATTATACATCTAAAAAATACAGCAAGATTTAAATTCTCAGCAGAAAAAAAAAAAAAAAAAAAAACCCTACATTTTTTAGCTCTCATTCATGAGAAACACAGGAATAGATAAAGAACATTCTACTGGCGCATCGGCTTCTTGTCCCTGTGGTCCAGTGAGAACTCTTGCGTCTTAGTATTCATTCCTTTAAGGATTGTAAGCAATATTACAATCTTTTCTTAGAGAGAATTTTTGACAGAATTTTACAAAATAAAATTTTAAAAGTAAAAAAGAAAAAAAAAACTATCATTACGCTTAGGATTTGTCATTTTTCTTTTCATAGTTTTTTTCTCTTTAAAATAAGAAAGTACATAGAAATAATCAAAAGCATAATTTGTTATTTGCAAAACATTACAGTGCAATATCAATTGCAACAACTGATAACTACAAGAAGGCTGTGTTCTGTATACTCAGAAGTGCTTCTTCCACCACTGCACAGTTTATACTTTAAACACTGATAAATGACAGGACCTAATTATCTTGAGGTCCTGCAGAGCATTACTTTTATTGAATAAATTTCAAGTACAGGGAAAGTAATGAAAAGTTATATTTCAGTTAATAATAGTATCTATACCTGCTTGGGAGTTTAGAAAACCAAAACATGATGTAAACAAGATTCAAGGGAGACTTGACTCTTCAGTAGGTAATAGAGAGTTTATATAATGTGCATGTATTTATTTTCCTTCACGTGCCAAACAATTGAACACCTGTGTATCTCAAAACAGATCATCCAGAAAATCAGTGCCATTGATAAAGATGACCCACCAAATGGTCATCAGTTCTACTTCAGTTTAACAGCAGAAGCAGCAAATAACCATAATTTTACGCTTCAGGACAACAAAGGTAAGAATATAAAGGCAACATAAACTTTTTGTTTGAGTAAATATTCACATCTAACACCTTCTGTTTTGAATATATTGTGCTGATTATGACCTACATAAACTTCTATTATGGCAAGAATGTAAATTAAAGTAGAATCAGCCCCTAAATTAATTCTATCTGTAGACTATCTGCCAAGGGAATAAAGCTGTTGTCTGCATCATTTAAAGCCTTGAGCCAAACACCAGCTTCATTTTTTTTTTCCAGAAGTCACTCTTTTCACATTTTCCCCTGTATTTATATGTTTTTGTCTAGACTATATCTTGGGGCATTAACTGAAAAATGTCCAGGAATTCATGTTTTATTAAAATAACTCAAGGCATAAAAAATAAGTGCACAGAGTTGTTTTGTTTTTTTTTTTTAAATTAAAAAACAAACAACAACAAAAAAAAAAACACATATTTTCAATAGGTATACTGTCTACTGAAGAATGATTTTGAAAATGGAAGCTGCCTGCAGTATTTACACAGACTTCTTACTAACATTTCCCCACAGACTTATGAAAAGACTCCCATGGACATCACATTTCTATTAGTTAAAATATCTGAGAACATGCTTCTAATTTGTGCTCTTATTGCACTGCATAGTATAGTAGCTGGTTATGAGTCAGTTTAGCTATGAGCCGAGGCAAGTAGAACTACATGTCACTCTGAACGTAATTCCTACTATTTATTTCCATGGAAAATACAACCAGTACAAAGAGCACAATAAAAGTATCTGATAGAACATATTTTCAGATACAGAAAACTATTTCTCAACACAGTCACCAGTATCTATGCATTTTTGTCAGTGACGAACAAGAGCCTGTGTGCATCATCTGTAAAAATTGGCACCAGCAGTGGTGAATGAATGTTGCTGTGGCCACCACTGAAACACACCACATGCTCCCTCAACTATACTCACATCTTCTGTTTGGTTTCCATAATTGTTCACAAAGTCAGTGGCTGCCATTTTTTCCAAGTGAAGAAATTCAATTCCACACCTTTTATTCACACACACTTTGAAGTCAAAAAGAATTTTGTTGGACTGGCCCTCTGTTGCCACATGTTGCATGGCAATAAAATTTAACAGAATATTGGTGGGAAGGCTCAACATCTACTGCTATACCACCATTTCCCTCTGATGTTGTGGGCCAACAAAATAAAATAGAAGGTATTACTTTTAGACCAACACTAATGAATAGCATTTTCACTGCTCTTTCATGTACCAGTACTAACCAAAGTTGCAAAGTCATTTTTATTAATAAGACAAAAGCGACATACGGTGGACTAAAGAATAATGTTTGTGCAGATTTCAAAGAATTTCAAAGAATGTACATATGACCTAAAAAAGATCTCTCATGCAGCTGTTTATTGCCTTTTCTTGCATGTAGTTATTGACATACATAATGTTCTTCATACGAGAAGCTTACAGTTTGAAATGAGGAACTGTAAATAGTGATCAAAATAATACATTTCTAGAAATCTGACACTGTAACAAGTACTGTAAAGTATTCAATAAAAAAGACAGTCTCTTTTTCAAAGAACATATAATATGCTAAGGTCAATAACAGATCCTTCTAATGCCAGTAAAATCAGTGGAGTTACAAAACAGTGCAGCAGTTGCCTCTTCTGACATTAGATTTATATATATCGCATATGGTTCTATATGAAGAAATGTTTGTATGGTTTTCCAGAAAGGTCATAATAGATGACACAATTAGTTACCTCTACCAGACTATCAATGTATCTATCTATAGAAAGACAGATAGCTAGATGATAGATAGACAGACCGACCGACCAACCTTTTCTATACATTTCTAGGAGATGTATCTCCCTACCTCTCAGGAGCGATCAACCTGTATTGAACACAGTGAGTTTTGCAAATCTTTTCTGGAACACACAGACTTTTTAGTCATCCAGCTCAGAGCAGCACTGCAGCACACATTTCAGATTCATTATATTAATCAACTTGTTGAATTTTGGCTGACATGGAAAACAAGTGCATGTCTTTATTATACGTGACATTACCTGTATCTGTGCGCCAATTGGATAATTTCTTTTTTACATTTTGAAAAAATCAATCATTGGTCTTCAGAATCTACTCACCTATGAATATGCTTATTAATTCCATGCTATCTATACTGCAAGTAGTTGTAACAGAACTTTGGAAATTAGACATGAAATATATGCAAATAATCTATTTATTGAAGTGTGACTTTTTTTCTTCTCCTTATGATAGTCGCATCTCCTATTATATATCAAGACTGTGGAAATGTGAGCATACTAAAACCAAATAGACTTTTGCAATTTTGAAACAGTCTTTCATGAAAAACAGAAATATTTGTTTAGTTGAACTTGAATTTTCAGCTGATCCTACCTCTGTAAATAAAGAAATGTATGACCAGGAAATATATACTCATTGAAATAGTATGAATGTCCTTCTAAATTTTTTTGAGTGAAAGTCTGCATTATTTATGTTCTAGTAAGATCAAGTATTTTACTTTTATCCTTTTATTCCTTCACCTAGATAACACTGCAACTGTATTAACGAGAAGAAATGGTTTCCGGAGACAAGAACAGTCTGTTTTCTATTTACCAATATTCATTGTGGACAGCGGATCACCTTCACTTAGTAGCACTAATACTCTCACCATAAGAGTCTGTGATTGTGATGCAGATGGTATTGCTCAGACATGCAATGCAGAGGCATACATCTTGCCTGCAGGACTTAGCACTGGAGCCCTGATAGCAATATTGGCTTGTGTTTTAACACTGCTAGGTAAGCCTTCTTCCCATCATTATTATCTTTTATTTAAGTAACAATATATATGTATCTCCAGTTCTTTAGGTTCTTTAGTTCTTTTCTTACTTTTTTTTTTAATTTTTTTATTTTTATCACTACTACAATTTTAATAGAATATCTAACATTACAAGCTGAACGTCATTTTGCATCATGAACTACACAAAATCCTCAGTCTGGGACTTAAAAGTTCAAATGTTTTGTTTCTTTTACAAGCTGCCTCCAGAGGCATATATGAAATAACATTAGATGGAAAAAGATTATTTGCAACAAATGTATTATTTAAGAAGTAGACAATACAGTTTACGGAAGTATTTCCCTAGTTTAGTGTAATAGCTGGTCATTTTCAGATCAGCATGTGTTCTTTTCAGAGAAATAACTCTTTTAAAACATTTCTTGAATTGGGGAGAACAAAAGACACTTAGGAAATACAATTGATATAATTTACAAGCTTAATTTGTTAAGCTTGCAACTGGAGGCACAGCTGAAGTTTATGTTAAGCAGTGAAACTACAGCTGTATAAAAGACAGGGGGAGCAATCAGTTCGTAAACAGTGAAGAAGTGTCAAGTGCCTAGTTTAGTTAGCATTTTTCATTTTGTGCCAAATCCTTAAACAACATGCCTGCATGGTAGCATTAGAAGACTAAATCAGGGAACAAAGATGAAGAATCATCCTTTCATCTGTGAGATGCAGGTGAGCAGAGGTGTAATTTCACTTATTGTCAGAAAAATATAATAAGAGTCCCAGTTGTCCCAGTTCAGTGCACAGGAATTTTCTTGAGTGCTGCTATCATTGGAAAGATTTCTCTATTTGCTGGATTCATATATCAACCCAAGAGGAAGAAGACTATAGTCTTCCCAAATTCATGTAGTCCAAGTGATGAATTATCTGTTTCTGTTATCCAAGTAACTTGCATCAGATCAAGAGATTTTTGTTGGTGCCTTTGTTCGTGGCAGAATTTTAACCATGTGTAGGAGATTTCTCATTGACTGTGGGGTTTTTTTCACTATAAGGATTAGACCGTATATTCCTTTTCCTACAAATAAATGTTCCTTCTGTTACTTTGTGACAAAATAGCCAACAATATAAGATTGTTCAATCTTACTTAACATATCGTTACACTTAAACTTAAGAAGAAATGGAAGTGAATTTTTTCAACAATTTTAATGAACATGCTTAAATAAGTTTTTTCTTATAGTATTTCTAGGTCATCTGTATTCCCTAATGAACTTTATTTGCACATACAGGTTAAATGGCACAGTTCTAAAAGATACACAGTGCTATGGTCTTCTGTCAAATGGCAGTAGAAAATTGTCCATTGAAAGTATCAGTCAAATGCACTTAAGTATTCTGTAATAGGAATCTATTTAATCCCAAACTGGAATGTCACTATTTCTGTTAATATATATATGAAAAATGAATTTCTGAAAAATGAATAAGAAACTATCACAGCTAAAAGTCAGATTGGCCTGTGCATGTGCTTTTCAGAAAGAGGAGTCTTATGTGTTAAACAGTATTCACTGGAGATACAGCATATTATCGAGTAATAATAACTCTCTTTTTCTACTCAGTATACCAGGCCTTAAGCACAACGAGTAAATTAACCTAAGCTTTTATTCCAATCAGCTCTAGATTGCACCAAACAAGCATTTGGTAAAGAACTGAGGACAAACTGTGTGGACACAGATTTTGAATAATGGGCTGTGCACTGAAGAGGAATCTGGCAGATGACTGCCTTGCCATTGATTTTAGTTGTCAAGGAATTGGTCTTTCAAATTTATCTATATGAATGTGTCACCACTGTTTATCCAAGTAGGCATTTCAGTGTACTCTCTTTGCTTCTTTTCTAAGCCATTCTTTTGGGGTACAGTTCAAAGTTGCAGGCACAGTTTACACTGTGTTTGTATATTAACCCTGGCTTTGAGTCCTGCAATTTGATGTTAGATCCTGAAAGTGTTTTGTTCCCAGCCAGGTTTCAATATTCACAGGTAAGAGATACCTAAGTATCATGTATCTCCAGTGAAACCCCAAACAAGTCTTGTTTATCTGATTCCAGAGTCTTTCTTCCTGTCATTTGTTACCAGAGGGCAGTTTCTGGACCAGTTGCATGGTGTACTGCTAGGAATTTCCTTTATAATCCCATTTCCCTTTCACATACTTTCCTGATAAAAATAAAAATAAAAAAATCCTGAAGATCAAGTAGTATTGCATAAAAAATAGACTTCAGCTGTTTGTAAAGATGGATGAGATTTGCACAGATGTCAAAATGTCATGAGTAGATGCATTCTGGTGCTAATATCTTGAATTCTCAACAAGCTTTTGTCTGCTGAATGTTAGTTTGGTGTGCTTTAATATTTGCTCTTGCTCCTTAGAACCATTTTTCTAATAAATAACCATTTGTCTTGGTGAATACTGAGTTTGCATCAATGAGATTTCTCAGTGTAATCATTTTTATTTTAATAACTGATCAGTTTTAGATAAGCACAAAGTTTTCACTAATGTTAAGAAGGAAAATTATTATTATGTCATATTAATTTGTTACGATCACATATAACATAGAAAGAACTATTTTGTTCAAAGTAAAATCATTTTAAAAGTTATAGACATTTTACTGAAATATATTTCACTCCATAGTTTGCCAGATAGAGATTAAATCCTAAATTTTATTGCACAAGAAAATTCCAGTACTTGGTTAATAATTCAAAAACCTTTATAATTATTCACTTTGCAGTGAGGCTGTGCTTTAAAGAAAAAGCACAATAAAGAAATGTTTGCAATTCTATAAAAAGCATACAGAGAGCTGTCTTATATTCTTCTTAGAATACACAATTCTTAGTGAAATAAGAAAGATTTACTTCCTCTTAAATTGGATGGTAATTTAATTCAAGGTAATTTGTTTTTCAGTTACTATCTTCCAGACACAATAACTGCTTATGTTGAAAGTGTTCTGTATAAAATATATGCATAAAGTTGTACACACACACACACAAATAATGTTCAGTTGTACATAACCCAATTTCATTCAAAAGGTTAAAGATTTTCTTTGTATGTAAGCGATAGGAAGCTAGGTTGACATAATTCGCTTTCATGATTTTAACCTTCCATACTTCGGAATATAATCTATTCCTTTAATTTCCTGACTTTCCTTAGAAGTAGTAAAGAAAATCTCCTGTTTTTTGACATTAGACTTTAAAAGTTAATAATACATTAATTAAATTTCAAAATATATATTTAAATTGTTAATTTTTTTTCAGTTGAGAGGCGGTTATGTTATTCTCATGGCACTTAGCAGAACCTAATTAAATCAACACATCTGATTGTGTAATTATTAAGCCTGAAGAAACAGTCCAGGTCATAAGGATCTTATTCTTCAAATGAATAAAAAGGGTAAAGAATGCAACAGTTTAATATGTATGGCTCTTTGTCTTACAGTTGGAGAACTGATAAATCAATAACTGTTTCAATCTGGAGGTAATTCAAATTAATTCATTCAAAAGATGTCTGAATATGCAGTGCAGAACTTGTTCTCTGAAAATGATATACCTTACTAAGGTCAACAAGTCTGGGCAATCAGAAGTCACAGTTGCTTTGCAAATAGCAATCCAAACTGATTAAGCAATTGCGATACATGAAGCTTATTAACTTGGGAATTAAATACAGATTTCCTAAGCCATGGCCTCTGCTTTCCTAGATCTCATTGACTGTAATATTAACTGAATTATATAATTAAATAGGTTATTAGTGTGGTGGTTAGATGAGTAAAAGATTTCAGTCTTTGGCTTTACAACTCATGCAGCTAAGGCATAAACCAGTGTGCATGTTAACTTGCAGCTGTGGTGGCTTATTGTTATGTAGTGTGTACAGGGCCTTACAATGTTTGTGATCTAGGTCTATCATTTTCTGTACAGCTCTGCATGTAGGCTTCTTCAAGTTGTATTGGAGCTATTACTTCTTCTTCATAATTATGCTGCAGTTTTCTTAAGTTCAAAGGACAGAAACAGAGAAGTATGCATGAGTGACATAAACCAGATTTTTCACTAGATCACACTAAACTGGAAATTTCAAAATAATTCCATTAAACAACTTGCAAATGACAAAGCAAAAATCTCTTCCTTCATTCAATATTATTTCAAAAACTGATTTAGCTTAACTGACACTATCGATGTTATGGTTATAGTTGTACAAACACAAAAATAAAATTACATTTTATCACATAAATGCAGATGAGAAGAATGAAAATTGACTGTTTTACCGGTTAAACAAAATCAACATTTTTTTACCAGTTCAGGTAAATCAGAACAAAAAAGTTATTTCAGATGTATATCAATTAGTTCTAATTATTCAGTCTTAATCCTCAGTTATCTCTAATATCGGTTATCAGTTTATATGTTAAATCACACACAAAATCAGTCCTGGCATCTCTTTAGCATCATTCAATGTATTAGCGTAGAGTGAAAGGCAATACATGTGTCCCTATGTTTTATTTTTTCTCTAAAGAGCCTAAAATCATTTTTTCTAGATATTCAGACCGTCACTAATTACTGTCTTACCTCTGCTTTGCAATAAATATAGGAGCAAAACCCATGACTTTGTGAGAAATTGATCAGTTTTAAAATAATTTTCACTTGATTTGGATATCAGTGAAATTTGTTTTGTACTTGTATTCATCTCTGCAGTTGCTGAAATGCAACTAAAAGCTTTGTTCATTGAGAGGTTAAACATTATTGTTCATAGTTGTTGGAAGGGCTAGAAATTCATAATCTCATAAAGCCATCTATGCTAAAAGATTTAACCTTTAGAAGGACTCCAGGTTTCTCTTGGCTTCAAGCAAGTGTATGATGTACAAGGAATACTGCATAAAACATTCATTGCATCTTGATTTTTATTGCACCTTCAGGCGGACTTGCCTACGGAGCTTCATATTTTTTCACTTATTAACAGTTCTTTAACTTTCAAAATGAACACTGTTAAGAATGACAGTAGTGGAAAAACACGTTTACACTTGATTAAATAAAATGATTATTTGCTTACATACATGGCAATAATAATTGTGGCAGTAAATATTAAAATACTAAAAAAAATACGTTGATAGCAATTTTGACTTAAATGTATAATAGCACTGTGAGCAAACTAATTTGTCTTTCACTTAAAAATATATTTTATAATAGGAAAAAGCCGAAAAAGTGCAGTGCAACTGTTTTCTGATAACTTTGAAATGAAGATAGTACTGCTATCTGTTATATCTACTACTCAATTTCTATTTTGCAAATATCAGAATATTTTGAAATTTCATAAAAGCATTCTAAAGGTCAAAGTCCTACATTTTCAAACTGCTTATGTAAATGTTATTGAAGCAAAGTACCCTAAACTAGTGGTGTATGAATTCAATAGACAAGATAGGATTCAGGGAGGCTAGAAGGATTCATAGAGGCTAAAAGTGAAAGAGCCTGGATTGATACTTTTAAAAATTCTTGCATGAAAGGAAACGCTTTCAAGAGTGTCCTATATTATATAAGGGCTGCTCTGAAAGTAAAGCCTCCTATTTTATGATGTTGGCCCACAACATCAGAGGTGGATGTTGATTGTATGGCAGTAAAAGTTGAACCTTCCCACCAATATTTAATTACGTTTTGTTGCCATGTGACAGATGGCAGCAGAGGGGCGTTCTGAAAGAAAAGCATCTGACATGGAAGTGCATATAAAGAAAAGATGTGTCACTGGAATCCCCCACGTGAAAAAAAAAGCACCCATGGACATTCATAAATGCTCCCTGAACATTTATGGAGACTAGAAAGTGAATGAGAGCATAGTGAGGTGATGGGTGGTGTGATTCATCTGTTGTTGTTTACATGGAACTAAATAAGAGGTATTACTTTCAGGGCGACCTATGTACAATTTATAGAGGATGCTTTTGAGACTGCCAAGAGAAGTTCATACTTGTTTTTATCTAAATGAGCTTTTTATTTTCCAGAAGTTTATGAAGCATTTAATACTCATATCAAAGTACTCTAAGAATAGATGTCAAAACTAAGATATGTGAATGCATATAGCAATATATTCTTAAGTTTAAAAATAAGCAGTAAATCCAAACAGATCAATTGAATGTGGAATTATGCTTAGTGTTCAAGTTACTAATATTTTTACAAACATAGCAATGCCTTCTCTTTTCTAGAAGTATCATTATCTCAGCAAATGTTATCCTAATGCTACAAGATAATATTGTTTTGTAGGAGGATGATTCATGTCCTACATATGGGTGAAATATTACTGGCTTCCATGTTTTGTGTGCCACTAGTGATGCTTCTTTACCAAATCTGTGCTTGAAAAAGGGAAGTCTTGACTTTTTTGCTCACAGTATTTTTGGGTGTCACCATAATTTAGCATTAACTTCTGAGCTAAAGGAAATATTAAAGACTAGAATTTAAAAATAATAATCTTTTCTCATGCTAGCTGATCCAGTAAAATCCAGTGCTCACAGTTCTCATTAGAAATAATTCATATACCTGAAGTACAGTACATTGGACTTAAAAGGAAAGTACAGTCTTACCTAAAAATTCTTTCAATTTATGTCTGTAAAAGAGTCCTAAGTTACACATGGCTTAATAATTCAGTCATCCCTGATCTAGTAATGTGAGTGGGTGTTTTTATTTTTTTATTTTTTTATTTTTTTTTTTCTCCCAGAAGGGATAGAGATTGGCCATATACTTTAATTCCGGCACTTCCCAAAATGTGGTTGTTAAATTCTATTTAGTTACTTTATGAATGTGCTTTTACTGCTTAGGCAATTAAGAGTACAAGAAAAGGTCCCTTTTTTATTTCATGGCTGTGAGATTGTATAGTAAGACTGAATCAGTCCTGAAATTTATGTTTAGCAGATAACATAGGATATAGAATTAGAAATGAAGACATTAATTCAAAATGGCTTTGGAAATAAATTCTTTAACAAATGAAAAGCTCATGGCTTAAAAGCCACTTTAGAACCTGCTAGATTTGAAGTCTAACTACATAAATTGCCTGCAATTTCATTGTGTCTTTACCATATAAATTAATGAGTGCTTTCACCCCTATGAAAAATATGAGCAAACTTTAACATTTCTAAAACTTCAATCTTTTTGCATTCCAGTTCTTGTCTTGCTGATTGTCACCATGAGGCGACGGAAAAAAGAACCCCTCATTTTTGATGAAGAGAGAGATATCAGAGAAAATATCGTCAGATATGATGATGAGGGTGGTGGAGAAGAAGACACTGAGGCTTTTGACATGGCTGCCTTAAGAAACCTCAACATCATCCGAGACACCAAGACCAGGAGGGATGTGACACCTGAGATTCAGTTCTTGAGCAGACCGACTTTTAAAAGCATCCCAGATAATGTAATTTTTAGAGAATTTATCTGGGAGAGACTAAAAGAAGCTGACGTGGACCCTTGTGCACCACCCTATGACTCCCTGCAGACATATGCATTTGAGGGGAATGGCTCGGTGGCAGAGTCTCTCAGCTCATTAGATTCGATAAGCTCAAACTCTGACCAGAACTATGATTACCTCAGTGACTGGGGCCCTCGCTTTAAAAGGCTTGCAGATATGTATGGGAGTGGTCCAGACTGCTTATACTCATAGCCTTGGAATCTTTCTCTGAAAATGCACTGAGGAATACTAGAACAAAATATCTCAACCTTACAGACAGAAAAAAAGTTGTAAATACTTCTCCATTTTTAATTTTTTAGGTTATTTTTTTGCCTTGGTGGAGCATACTTTCATTAGACTTGTCCTAGAGACTGCACTGACCACAAAGTATATGAGCATTTGATATCATTTTTAATAAAATGAAATGCTCAGACACATTCAAATAGATAGCAACCCTTAGATACCTGCAGAGGTAACTCACTTTCAAGAGTATGCTATGCATGGTAACCTCAATGAGTCAAGGCAGATGCCTTGACAGTATTGCTATGTCTAGAACACAAAGTCGATGGTATATGTATTAAAAGCATGAAATTTTTTAAAAATTACATATTCCACTACATTACAATATACAGGATTTGCAAATGAAAACTTTCTAGCAAATTTTCATTACAATGTTGTACACAGATTCCTAAGACAAATGCAGAAGACAGACATGAAAACAAACAAAAATTCAGATCATTTTTCATTTGTCCCCTTTTTTTTCAAATCAATTTAGTGGGAAATCTCTGTAAATTTGGGGGTAGTTTTATGAAAAATAAAACTGCAATTTATTTTAAGAAATTCTGAATTTGTCTACATACTGGCGTATTTTATAAGCCACATAAAATGAGAAATATGGAGGGATGTCCTTAAGGTTGAAAAGTTTTGTGATGCTCATGTAGGTATATTTAAGGTGTTGCTATCTATTTGTTATTTTTTATTATCTCTTCTGATTTGTACAGGAGAATTTAACCTTTTTTATTATTATTTGACATAAAGCATTATATTTATTTTGGAGCTCTAATCTCCACTAAGTCCAGGTCCATTTTACTGCCTCAGAGTATTAGACTTGTCAGAACATGCTGATTTTTCTCCAGTCTCAGATAAATGTAGGAAATGAAGCATGGAAATGGAGAAATTACAGTAAAAAAATTGAGCCCACCATTCATCTCTCAGAAAGGAGAGCAGCTACAAGGACATGCAGTTGTTCTTCTGAGCCATTACAAAGTCTGAGACATTTAAATAAAATATTTGTATTTTGCATTTTTGGAAAGAGGACTACAGAGGTTGCTGCGAGTGTTATTAAAGCAAGATTTAATTTCAAGGTCAAACATCCTATATGCTTCAAAGACTGCTTTTCTCCCTCTCTTTATCTTTTGCTGATGATGAATCACAGTAAAAGACTTTTAAATTTCTTTCTTATGTTAAGTAATGTAATACTACTAACTCCAGAAGCCACCTCTAGATCTTACTGCACACATGTATTTTCCCCAAAAGTGTTGTCTCAGTACACAATTTCTATGCTGTTTCAGGAGTGCCAAAACAGAAGGATAACTGCTGTTGGTTAAAATACGGTATTGTTTTAAGTAGGATTTCTTAGAATAAGACAACTTTTTTATGATTCTGACTATTTATACTTCATCTTTCATGATTTATTATTAGATAATAAGGCATATATACCAGTAACCTAGTGTTTTTAAGTATTCTTTCAGATTGTTTTGTTTTAGGTAATCTGTAGATGAAATCCTAAGTTAGACTCTGCTCCTGCAAAATCTTTCGCTTATACCTAACTTGCAATGATTTGATTTGCCAGCAATTACTGAGAGGTATTCAGAATTGTTTGTAGGATTTTACTTGTGAACAGAAGGTACACCACAAAGAATGATGCTCACTCTAAAAGTACGTCTTTCTAAGAGAAAGATTATTGTACTAAAATTCTGATCTGTGGGTGACACAAGGCTGGGAAATGGGTAATCAAGGTTTTGGAACTTTTGTATCCCAGCATTATCAATAATGTGAAAAAGGCCTTCAGCTTTATCAGAGAAAAACAAAATAATTTTTATAATCTGCAACATAGGTATTCAATTTTGAGTTACATTTTGGTAGACAATCTTTGATTCACACAATTCAGTAGATTTGCTTCTAGTTGTACTAAATATATATATATATATATATACGTATATATATATGACAGATTTTGTAATGGAACTGAAAGATATTGCCCATGACTTTTTGTCATATGCTTTAAAATTTTTAAAAAAAAAAAAAAAAACCAAAAAAAAAAAAGAAAAAAAAAAAAATGGAGAGTGATCCATGTGTTTGTAGTTCAAAGAGAATGAGATATAGTTAAGCAAGCATTAAATCAGCAAAGTATGAAAAGAACAGTTTTAATTCTTTTTGTTTGTGGGAAGATAATTCCTTAATCTGGATTGCAAGTCAGCAATGATGCTTTTAGCACACAGCACTCAAAGGAGATTTAAATCTGGTCTAGAGTAAGCAGCCCAATTCTCTTGCTTTTCTACTTTATATGCCTGGAGGGGGGAAACAAACAAACAAACAAACAAACAAAAACAACAACAACAAAAAGCAATGAAAACAAAAAGGTCCTTTGTTATGAAACTAATTTATTTTTGTGTATGTATGTGCTTTCTGTGGGAAAAAAATATGTTTCTGTCTATTTAACACTATCCAAACTCATTATTATATTTGTTTACTGTTGCAGAGTTCTAAAGTAATCCAATATTTTATTTTATTTTATTTTATTTTATTTTATTTTATTTTATTTTATTTTATTTTATTTTACATTAACTATGCTTACCTATTACCATATTATTGCAGTAAGAGAGAAATTCCACATATTTGGTGACAGATGTTACTATACTACATACATATGGCATACAAAACACATTCACTACATACTGCTCTCTTTAACTTACCTCATATATGAGTTTTCATGGGTCATATTCTGATTCAAATTCTTCTACTGTTATTTGTGATAGTGTGATGTTATAAATCATATTTTACTGAACAAACAATGGAAAATATAAGAAATACATTTTCTATCCAAGAATAATTTCAGAATTATTTGAGCTAATTAATTAGAAAAACTGTTTTAAAAGAATTTCCATTTTATTTATTAGCTGATTTTTCTAAAAATTCCAGTATGACCTTCAGGTCACAATTCCTACTTAGAAATCCCTCAAACTTTGCATCAACTCCTAACACACAATGAAATGCCATCATCTGTTTCCTTCTCCTTTATAACAACTGAAAAGTCTTTTTTAAACTGAGATTTCAAGACCCATTTGAAAGTTTATAGCTTTAAGAGAGCTACTAAAAATATTACGCTGTTAAGAGTTAAGGCAAGACAGCTTTGACCTGTGTAAAATCTATGAAATTCAAAAGAGCTAAATTGTTGTAGGCAGTGGACATTCTGATATTTTTTATTTAAAAGAATGAATTTATTAAATTTAGTATTTACTGTATTAAGTTATATTCCCATTCATCTACAACACAGGTCTTCCTAAGCCTAATAATTTCTGGCTGGGCTGGGCTGACAATCACTAAAGGATTTGAGAAATTTCAAGATAATTATATGAAAATTCCCATTCTCCAAAGTATTCGAAAATAATGTATTATTGATTCTTATTTGCATGTTGTTCTTTACATCGTTTTAAAGGTAGGTGTGACTGTCATTCATAGGAATTTCTCTTAAAATTCAAGATGTCCTTATTATTATTTTATCCTATTAACTCTACATGCATCAGCATACATCAGTAACAAAATATTTCCCATCCTTCTTTTTTTTCTTTTTCTTTCTTCCTCTCCCTTCACTTTCCTTCCCTCTTCTCTCAGTAGTATTTACACTCTTAGCTTAGATTTTAGAATTGTTGAGGTTCTTTACCGAGCAATTTCAGCATTAGTAATTATAATATGTTCTTGAGGCATGGAAAAAGAGGGAAAACTTATATACAGTAAAACATCATGAATTCAAAATGTCTCTATGTGCATTGACTTTAATGCAGTAGATTAACCATTGCTGTCCCTCAGTGCTCCCTAATGCATTCATATATTTTCCTGTCATCAAGACCAGCTACTCATTTATGAACATGTATTGACATCTAGCCAGATATTATAGACCATTTAAGTCTGACAAGAATGATCAGTCTGAATTTTAATGTCCTCATAGTAACATAATCATCAAAATATCCTTTATTATTATCACACTGTCAAAATTACATGAAACATTTACTGATGCACCTAGAAGCTGTGCGAAATCCTGATCATGTTGAAGTACCAGCAAGATGACTTCCAAGAGGCATCAAGATTTATACATTGTTAGGAGAGACTGATAAATGACCACTGACAGAATCAAAGCAAGACTGCCAAATTGATCAGGGTGCTCTTTCTTTTTGTGCAATCTCTTATTGTTCTTTCCCTTTTTAGGAGCTGCAATCCCCTTCTTTTTATAGTAATACAAATACCTTGGTGGAATATTTTTTAATAGTATAAGCTATTTTCTACCAGCTTGGTATAACCTTCCTGAAGTAAACAGTACCCTTGCTGACAAAGTTCATTATCTGATACCTGCGCACAGCTCTTCCTCCCTATAAAAAAGGACACATAGAATTTCCATGCTACCAAAATCAAATTATGACACTTCTTTTTTAAAATGACTTTGTGACCATCTGTAGCTTTATTTATGTCAACTATAGATACAACCAAGATCTTCCTGTTTCGCAGTCTGTTGCCTTGCTGGTTCTTGAGATTTTACTAATACAGAAAGGGAAGGTAGAAGAAAAAAAGACAGAAATTAAGAGCACCTGGTATTTTTATTGCTTCATACGTGACCTAATTTACCAGATGCTACTGGAATATAATTTCCTCCGAGGTAATAATGTTTCCATAAAGTGGAAGGATACCTTCCAAGTACTTGGCCTAGTCTCATCTTCATAAAAAAAGAAATAACTATTAAGGAGAAAGATTAAAAATGTAAGTGGCAAACTTAGTATGTAGCTTGCTATTCCTCAAAAGGTTTTTTTCTGTGTTTGTGTGTAATGAACAACTGAATGAAAATCTCATATGACATCTAATCTATTGATGTGGTTACCATTTCTATGTATGATATATTCTATGTCTGGATATTTGTTCACATTTTAATTCCTTTAAATTTCTAGTAGATTTTTATTGTGACATATAGAATACAACT